TTCTATTCTCAATTCTACCACCGACATTCTCATTAAAACTGTTAGTTCAGTAGTTAAAAATCTACTTACAGCACCGAAGCCAATGGCGAAGCATACGGACACCGCCGTCCCCAAAATACCTTCTGCTAAGCCAATGTACGATCGGACTTCCAAGTCTGTAAAAAAATAATAATAATAAAAATAAATTGAATAAAGAACGGATGAATAAAGATATACAAGCAGATGAATTACGATGAATAAAAAGTAGATGAATTAAGGTTGTGAGTGAATGATTCGTTGCAGTACGTCAATTAATGAATAAACAGCATAATCACTGAAGTGGACTACTACTAGTACTACTACTTACTTTACTAGACTACTACTATCTACTACTACTACTTACTACTACTAGCTACTACTACTACTATTACTACTTACTACTACTACTATTACTATACTAACTACTACTATAACAACAACAACAACTACTACTGCACAGTGAAGCCTATTGGGTTAAGCACTAATAGGTTAAACAAAACTAGATAAAAAGGGGTGTGTAAGGGTGGAATTGTGAGGTGGAGACGGAAGGGGGGTGGGGATGGGAGGTAGAGGTGGAATTCAGGAATAAGACGACAGGTGGAGCAGGCACAGATTGGTGTGGAGGTGGAGATAGAGATGTAGCTGAAACTACCGGTGGAAACAGAGACGTAGTTGGTGGAAGGGATCGGATAGCCCAAAGTGGAATTAACGTCGAATACTTAGACAAGAAGTGGAAGTGGAACCAAGAGTGGAGACGCAAACGAAGGTAAAAATAGAGGAATAAGGAAGGTATAGATGAAGATGAAAGGGAGGAATCGAAAACAAAAGAAGCGCGTTCGGTATCTTACCCTCATGATTGCAAACAGACACGTTGTTGGCGCACTGGTTGTTCACCTCGTAAACCTTCCAAGCGAAAAAGCCTTCAGTGCCCAGGGACCCTAGCTGTGGGTTAAGATTTTTTTTATTGGAAGCAAAAAACGAATTATTGATAATAGAAATGAATGGATAAACTCATACTGAATGGTTTTTAGTGTGACAGGGATGAAATGAAATTTAAAAGAATTATTGGAAGCAAAGAGCGAATTATTGATAATAGAAATGAATGAATAAACTCACGCCATTATAATCAGATTTTTAGTGTGACAGGGATGAAATGAAATTTAAAAGAATTATTGGAAGCAAAGAGCGAATTATTGATAATAGAAATGAATGAATAAACTCACACCATTATATGCAGTTTTTTGTGTGACAGGGATGAAATGAAATTTAAAAGAATTATTGGAAGCAAAGAGCGAATTATTGATAATAGAAATGAATGAATAAACTCACGCCGTTATAGTTTTTTGTGTGACAGGAATGAAATGAAATTTAAAAGAGAATTGCACAAGGGATATTTGGAAAAGCAAACGTAGAGAGATGGTTGAAACACATCGAATTTAAATACTGTTGATGCACGTGCAGTGTACATTTTCTTGTATTGGTCTGTGAATATGTATGGATTGCACAGATTTTTCTATCTTTATCTATCTATCTCCTCTCTCTCTCTCTCTCTCTCTTTCGCTCTCTCTCTCTCTCTCTCTCTCTCTCTCTCTCTCTCTCTCTCTCTCTCTCTATATATATATATATATATATATATATATATATATATATATATATATATACATATATACATACATATATATATACATACATATATATATATATATATATATATATATATATATATATATATTTGTTGTGTTATAGTTATTTATCTATTGTTATATATATTGCTGTTACCATGATTATGTTCACTGATATTGCAGAAAAATGTGCGAACGAGAATGAATAACTTCACAATGCAACAGATCAGAAATACACACATCAGGGAGATGACAAAACGTGATCATATCAGACATGAGCCGAAGATTCACCTGGCATCGTTACCCGCATAAAAGTTACTCCGACCTTGGATAATCTGAAGCACGATACGGTGTTTACATTCTCCTCGTGATGAATACAGCTTCCATTGTTTTTCTTTTTTCTTTCTTTCTTTTTTTATTGGCTATTTAATCATTAACGGATTGTTTTTATCCGTTCTATCTTCATGCACCCGACATGGCGTAAGAAATTTTATGGTGACGGATGCTCGTTTGATCCGGGTCCTGACGTGCTGTTTGACAATAATAAACTTTATGTCATCTGCTGCAGGATGTGTAGTAAAAGCATCGGGGTTATTTGCCGGTGGATTCGTGGCTCGCATTAAAACAACCGCACACGCATTCTTGAAGTGTCAGGAATAATTTTGACGGAAGTGCAGGATCGGATCATGTTTTTGTTGTCAAGTTCTCCGTTTTCTTTCCGAGGTTCAGGAAGAAGCCTCAAGGATACAGTATGTTTCATCAGTGATTACCTAATCTAATTCGGGACTCCAGATCCTCAATGCCCTGACAAAGATACTAATTACGATCCCAGATTCAGCAATATTGATCAATTAGCCTGAAAAGGGTATATTCTGACCATCTTTCTCCAAGGTAAATTGGATTTTCTCGTAGAAGTCGTTGTCAGGACAATCTAGTTAAATAGAATGCCTGCAGATTATAACTCTTCCATGGCACTTTTTCAGCGTCTTTATGAAGAAGCAAGCCCAAAACTGCGCTTCGTGGTGAGCGCAAGACATGACCGGTAATTTGTTTGTGATTATCATTATCAATATTAGTATCATCATTAGTACAACTAATTTATTATGTTTATGTTGTATCTATTTTTTTTCATTTAATTCCCCACCTTTATTGCCATTATCATCAATAACATTGTGATGTAGTTGTTGCTGTTACCCACCCAAGACGAGACTTAATCTCCAGGAGATTTTCCTACTCTGCCAACATTATCAACTTCATGACCTCTACTCCCATAATCTTCAACCACCGTCCTCCCTTATTACTACCTTACATCCTTATTCTCCATCTCTCCGTAATACTATAATACAATACCCCCTCCTCCACACGTGCCCGTCCTTCTACCACCCCCAACTCTACCAATATCTTAAATACTCTATTTAGTCCAGCCAAATAGTCTCTTTCCGTACCCTACCCGATCGTTCCCGTCTCATTGCAGTTACGTCTGATACCAGCTCCAACTACACCTACATTAACCCTACCTCCATCCCCTCTATTACTCCCTCCAGGATACACACATGAATTCCTTATGTCACAACTACGCCCTTTCCCAGATTCCCCACCTCCTGATACCACTCCTGATACTACACCACCACCCCCTCCAATTCCTTATCTCACCCCTAGCCCCTCCCTCTTCAAATTCTCCAAAACGCACTGTAACCGTTATCACTCGTAGATCAGCTAAGATATGGCTCTCTAACATTGGAATATTCACTGTTTCCGTTCTCACAGACCTTCGTCATATCCTTCCTATAACCCATCCGTTATCTGCTTCCATGAGACTTTTCTTAAACATCTTCCTATACCAATTCCCAACTCCCCAGTGTAATGTCCCTCTTTCACTTCCACGCATTCTCTTGTCCTGCCCACGCTTTATTACAGCCCGCACCCCCCTCCCCCCCCTATCCTCCGTTCACCGACCTCCCAACCTATACAGAATCACACATTTTCTACCTTGACCTGTTCTCCTTCCTCAGACGCATACATATCCTTCGCTTGATCTAATCCCACACCCAAACCCACCATAACCCAATCACTCATCAACTCCTTTACCCATCTCTAACCTTTCAATACGTCTCTAGATAGTTAACAAATAACAACTATTACCGGTCATCACCCCTTCACTGTGCCTTCCTATAGTGCTATATGACCTTAGATGTCTAGCACATTTATTTTGCTTTTAATCATTAACTATGATAGTAATAATTATTATTATAATAACAATAATACAGCTGTTTGAATATCAATACATCACTATAATCATCATTATCATTACTTTTAGTTTCAGTATTAAAAGGCGTATTATTAGTTGTATTAGTAGTAGCAGTTACATAGTAGTGACAATAGTGGTTATTGTAATGGTAGTAGTAATCATAAAAAATAATAGTAATAATATCAATTTTTATTATTATAACGATAATAAAAATAACAACAGTAATAACGGTAATGATAATAATTATGATACGATGCCCTGTAATTATAATCATCATCGCCATTTTCACAACACCATTATCACAATTATATAATTAAGCAACCATAGTAGTAACAAACGTACTTGATAATACCTTCGTCTACTCATAACTATCACTGCCGTATTAGTTTATGTCGTCATTTCCGCTTTTATCTGATTTCCCGCCATGACTCATCGCTGGAAAATTTGTTTGAAGTTCTTGGACCTAGAAACGTGTTACACTGTTGGAATGCTGTCCGTTTTCTTTCTCATCTTCTTCCGCTATTCATTTTCTGTTCTCTTCTACTATATATATATTCTTTTTTTTTCTTTTCTTTTATTTTGTCTTATTTTTATTTATTATTCTTCTTCTTCTTCTTCTTCTTCTCTTCTTCTTCTTCTTCTTCTTCTTCTGTCCTCCTCCTCCTCCTCCTCCTCCTCCTCTCCTCCTCCTCCTCCTCCTCCTCCTTCTCCTCCTCCTCCTCCTTCTCCTCCTTCTCCTCCCTCTCCCCTCCCCTTCCCTCCTTCTACCCCCAACCCTTCCCCCTCCCCCTCTCCCCAACCCTCTTCCTCATTATTTAATTCCCTCTCCTCCGTTTCGCTCCAGTTGTCTCTCATCCTCCCCGCCACAGCCACGACAACGTCTACCAGAGAATCGTCACCGCGCCTAAAATTGGCTCCGTAGAAATCCAGAAATCCAGAAATCCGCAGACCTTCAGAAATCCAGAAATCCGTAGACCTTCAGAAATCCAGAAATCCGTAGACCTTCAGAAATCCAGAAATCCGCAGACCTTCAGAAATCCAGAAATCCGTAGACCTTCAGAAATCCAGAAATCCGTAGACCTTCAGAATCCGTAGACCTCAGAAATCCAGAAATCGTAGACCTTCACAAATCCAGAAATCCATTCAGAAATCCAGAATCCGTAGACCTTCAGAAATCCAGAAATCCGTAGACCTTCAGAAATCCGAAATCCGTAGCAAATCCTCCATAGACCTTCACAAATCCAGAAATCCGTAGACCTTTTCCAGAATCCGTAGACCTTCACAAATCCAGAAATCGTAGACCTTCGAAATCCAGAAATCCGTAGAAATCAGAAATCCCCTTCAAATCCAGAAATCCGTAGACCTTCACAAATCCAGAAATCCGAGAAATCCAGAAATCCGTAGACCTTCACAAATCCAGAAATCCGTAGACTTTCACAAATCCAGAAATCCGTAGACCTTCACAAATCCAGAAATCCGTAGACCTTCAGAAATCCAGAAATCCGTAGACCTTCAGAAATCCAGAAATCCACCTTCACAAATCCAGAAATCGACCTTCACAAATCCAGAAATCCGTACCAGAAATCCATAGACCTTCAAATCCAGAAATCCGTAGACCAAATCCAGAAAATCCAGATAATTTCAGAAATCCTCCAGAAATATAGACCTTCAGAAATCCGTAGACCTTCACAAATCCAGAAATCCGTAGACCTTCACAAATCCAGAAATCCGCAGACCTTCAGAAATCCAGAAATCCGTAGACCTTCAGAAATCCGCAGACCTTCAGAAATCCAGAAATTCAGAAATCCAGAAATCCGTAGACCTTCACAAATCCCGTAGAAAATCCAGAAATCCGTAGACCTTCAGAAATCCAGAAATCAGACCTTCAGAAATCCCCGTAGACCTTCAGAAATCCAGAAATCTTCACAATCCAGAAATCCGTAGACCTTCACAAATCCAGAAATCCGTAGACCTTTCCAGAAATCCGTAGACCTTCACCAGAAAATCCGTAGACCTTCAGAAATCAGTCCAGAAAAGACCTTCAGAAATCAGAAATCCTAGACCTTCAAATCCAGAAATCCGTAGACCTTCAGAAATCCAGAAATCCGTAACCTTCAGAAATCCAGAAATCCACCTTCAGAAATCCAGAAATCCGTAGACCTTCACAAATCCAGAAATCCGCAGACCTTCACAAATCCAGAAATCCGTAGACCTTCAGAAATCCAGAAATCCGTAGACCTTCAGAAATCCAGAAATCCGCAGACCTTCACAAATCCAGAAATCCGCAGACCTTCAGAAAATCCAGAATCGTAGACCTTCAGAAATCCAGAAATCCGTAGACCCAGTCCAGAAAGACTTCACAAATCCAGAAATTAGACCTTCACAAATCCAGAAATCCGTAGACCTTCAAATCCAGAAATCCGTAGACCCAGAAATCCAGAAATCCGTAGACCTTCACAATCCAAATCCACCTTATCCAGAAATCCATAGACCTTCTTAGACCTTCAAATCCAGAAATCCAAAATCAGAAATCCGTAGACCTTCACAAATCCAGAAGAAATCCGAGACCTTTTAATCAAATCCAGAAATCCGTAGACCTCAGAAATCCAGAAATCCATAGACCTTCACAAATCCAGAAATCCATAGACCTTCCAGAAAATCCAGAAATCCCGTTAGACCTTCACAAAATCCAAAAATCCGAGCCGGCGACGATAAGACCGGTGGAATTCAATTAAACTGATCTGTGGGAAGGTTCGTGAGATTTTTTTTTTTTCTTTTTTCTTATCGTTCACTTGAGTGTTCTCCGCGTTCCAGTTAACACCTCTTCTTATCAGTTATTATGTTTGTTTGTTTGTTTCATGTCATGCATTTGGTGGAATAGAAAAGACACTTTTTTGGTTGTAGGTGGATTTACCTCATGTCAATATACACACATATTGTATATATCTGAATATCTACATATCTATATTTATATATCTTTGCATCAATCTATATCTTTCTGTATCAATCTGTCTGTTCATCTGGCTATCTATCTGTACCAATTTCCTGTTTCTTTATCTATCCATCCATCTATATAGATAGATAGATAGATAAGCTGATATAAGTTGTGTGTGTGTGTGTGTGTGTGTGTGTGTGTGTGTGTGTGTGTGTGTGTGTGTGCGTGCGTGCGTGCGTTCATGTGTGTGTTTGTGTGCGTGTGCATGTGTATTTGTACGTGTGCTCCTGCGTATACACATAAAATAAACTCGCACGTGCCACCAGTGAATGAAAGTAAGAATCTCTTGGACTTACGACGCAAACACGGCCACGACGACCCCGGAGGCCTTCAACGCTTTGAACCCACACATGATCGCGACCGGCACCGTCTCGCTCCCACAGACCTACCGCGCGGGACTGACAGTTTTGAAATTCCTCGCTTGAATGGCGGCGCTTCTTATCTCAAGGTTTATTATCGCGATCATAGGCGTCACGCGGTGAATCATGGCTGATACCGGTCGCTCTTCCATCAGCGTTGGGTGTGACGTCAGCTCAGAGGTTGGGAATAGATAAATGTACAGACGTGTGGGTGAGCGTGTGTGTTCCTTGCGTCAGAAATCCAGCGACCTTCACAAATCCAGAAATCCGCAGACCTAACAAATCCAGAAATCCGTAGACCTTCACCAAATCCAGAAATCCGTAGACCTTCCACAAATCCAGAAAATCCGTAGACCCAGAAATCCAGAAATGACCTTCAAATCCAGGAAAATCACAAATCCAGAAATCCGTAGACCTTCACAATCCAAAAATCCGTCCAGAAATCCGACCTTCAGAAAATCCAGAAATCCGTAGACCTTCACAAAAATCCAGAAATCCGTAGAATCCCAGAAAAGTCACAAATCCAGAAATCCATAGACCTTCAGAAATCCAGAAATCCGTAGACCTTCAGAAATCCAGAAATCCGCAGACCTTCACAAATCCAGAAATCCGTAGACCTTCACAAATCCAGAAATCCGCAGACCCTTCACAAATCCAGAAATCCGCAGAAATCCAGAAATCCGAAACTTCACAAATCCAGAAATCCGCAGACCTTCACAATCAGAAATCCAAAAATCCAGAAATCCGCAGACCTTCACAAATCCAGAAATCCGTAGACCTTCACAAATCCAGAAATCCGCAGACCTTCACAAATCCAGAAATCCGTAGACCTTCACAAATCCAGAAATCCGCAGACCTTCACAAATCCAGAAATCCGTAGAAATCCGCAGACCTCACAAATCCAGAAATCCGGCAGACCTTCACAAAATCCAGAAATCCGTAGACCTTCACAAATCCAGAAATCCAGCAGACCTTCACAAATCCAGAAAATCCGAAAAGACCTTCAGAAAATCCAGAAATCCGTAGACCTTCAGAAATCCAGAAATCCGTGACCTTCACAAAATCCAAAAATCCGTAGACCTTCTCAAATCCGGCGGCGACCGATAAGACCGTGGAATTCAATTAAACGTGTGATCTGTGGGAAGGTTCGTGAGATTTTTTTTTCTTTTTTTCTCGTTCACTTGAGTGTTCTCCGCGTTCCAGTTATCGCCTCTTCTTCTTATCAGTTATTATGTTTGTTTGTTTGTTTCATGTCATGCATTTGGTGGAATAGAAAAGACACTTTTTTGGTTGTAGGTGGATTTACCTCATGTCAATATACACACATATTGTATCTATCTGAATATCTACATATCTATATATCTTTGCATCAATCTATCTTTCTTTCTGTATCAATCTGTCTGTTCATCTGGCTATCTATCTGTACCAATTTCCTGTTTCTTTATCTATCCATCCATCTATATAGATAGATAGATAGATAGATATAGATAGATAGCTGATACTATATGTGCGTGTGTGTGGTGTGTGTGGTTGTGTGTGTGTGTGTGTGTGTGTGTGTGTGTGTGTGTGTGTGTGTGTGTGTGTGTGCGTGTGCGTGTGTGTGTTTTGCGTGTGCGTGTGCATGTGTATTTGTACGTGTGCTCCTGCGTATACACATTAAAATAAACTCGCACGTGCCACCAGTGAATGAAAGTAAGAATCTCTTTGGACTTACGACGGCAAACACGGCCACGACGACCCCGGAGGCCTTCAGCGCTTTGAACCCACACATGATCGCGACCGGCACCGTCTCGCTCCCACAGACCTACCGCGCGGGACTGACAGTGTTTGAAATTCCTCGCTTGAATGGCGGCGCTATCTTATCTCAAGGTTTATTATCGCGATCATAGGCGTCACGCGGTGAATCATGGCTGATACCGGTCGCTCTTCCATCGGTTGAGCGTTGGGTGTGACGTCAGCTGGTATATGTTCAGAGGTTGGGAATATTGGTGTTAGGATAAATGTACAGACGTGTGGGTGAGCACTACTGTATGCACGCTTCCGGTATGTGAGATCCAGTTGATAATGCGGGTATTTCATTGGTTTTGTGTGTGTGTGTGTGTGTGTGTGTGTGTGTGTGTGTGTGTGTGTGTGTGTGTGTGTGTGTGTGTGTGTGTGTGTGTTTGTGTGTGTTACTACGAGTCTACACTGACAGTATCAATGATTTATTAGCCTGAACAAGTTTTCAAATTTAACCGATTCACACTTGTACTTTAATACACGAATATTTTGCGTTTATCATCGGATAGACTTAATAAGAATTACTGATATAACCAAGCATATTAAAAGAATAGAATGATTTTCCAATTTGAATGATAATTGAAATATCAAACTATTAGCAGATTTTTTTCATTGAATTTGTCTGATACAAATTCAGATTCATTGAAAGACGTTTAATGTTTTAAAAAATCTATATTCAAACACACCACTTGTGTATATTCTTTCTAAAACTCATGATGAATCCATGCATGTTCATAAAGAAAGATAAGTGACCTTTTCGCTGTCCAGGTTAGATGTTTCTCTTAATGATCAGAATTTTCCAAAATCAAGTCTAATCTATGTGAAAAGTTGCTTGACAAGCTGCCTGGCGTACGACGATGAAAGTGTCGTAATCGCCAGTCTGCTATAGAAGCAACATGGAAAGGATTGGTAAGAGAATGGGTGGGCGGGAGAGAGAGAGAGAGAGAGGGGAGAGGGGAGGAAAAGAGATAAAGAGGAAGAGGAAAAGAGAGAGTGAGAGGAAGAGAAAGATATAGAGAAAAAAAAGACAAAAAGAGAGAGGGGAAGAGAGAGAGAGAGAGAGGGGGAAAGAGAGAGAGAGGGGGGGCAGAGAGAGAGAGACGAGAGAAAGAAGGAAAGAGAGAGAGCTAAAGAGATAGAAATACGGATAAATAGATACATATACTGGCTAACAGACACACACGCCCCCGACAAAAGATAGTAAAGGAAACACACTGTCTCTCGGCGTTTATTTGCACCAGTAAAGCCATCCTGGAAGCGCACTCGGCCTCAAGACGTGTTCGTGCAGTGTATTCGCGGTAGAGGCCTTCCCCGCCAAGGTCTATATAAGTACTTACATAGACCTTGTTCCCCGCAAGGTTGGCGAGGACCAAGTGTGACCCTAGGTTGGCTTCCAGGAGGGAAAATATGCTCTCTGGAAGCCGGTTGGAGACTCATGGTGGTCGACGGTGGTCTAAGTTCGAGACCAGGGATGAAGAGGTCGCTCCATAGCAGGCGACGTAAGATGGGTTGGCCTGCTACTGAAAGGGTGTGACCTTGAAGGCGGCTTAGACGTTTCTCAGAAAGATGGGGAGGGAGGGAGAGGGGGAGACGGAGAGAGAGAGAAAGGAGGGAGAGGAGGAAAGGATAGAGAGAAGGAAGGAATAGAGAAAGAGAGGGAGGAGAGAGAAAGAAGGGGGGAGGGATAGAGAGAAAGGAGGGAGGAAAAAGATGGGGGGGAAGGGAGAGAGAGAGACTGGTTGGCCTGCTACTTAAAGGGTGTGACCTTGAAGGCGGCTTGGACGTTTCTCAGTAGGAGAGGGAGAGAGAGAGGGTAGAGAGAGGGAGGAGAGAGAGGAGAGGGGAGAGGGAGAGAGAGAGAAGGGGAGGAGAGCGAGAGAAGAGAGGGGGGAGGAGAGAGAGAGAAAGATGAGGGGGGAGGAGAGAGAGAGAAAGAGGGAGGGAAAGAGAGAGAAGGGAGGGAGAGAGAGGAGGAGGGAGGGAGAGAGAGAACTGGTTGGCCTGCTACTTAAAGGGCGTGACGTTGAAGCAGCTTAGACGTTTCTCAGAAAGATAGGGTGGGGAGGAGGGAGAAGAGGGGGGAAGGAGAGAGAGAGAGAGAGAGAGAGAAGGAAGGAGGGAGAGAAGAGAGAGAGAGAGAGAGGAGGGAGAGAGAGAAAGACAGGAGGGAGGTAGAGAGAAAGACAGGGGATGGAGAGAGAAAGACAGGAGGAGAGAGAGAGAAAAGAGGAGAAAGAGAGAGAGAAAGAGAGGGAGAGAGAGAAGGAGAGGGAGAGAGAGAGAGGAAGGGAGAAAGAAAGAGAGAGAAGAAAGAGAGAGAAAGGAGGGAGGACAGAGAGAGAGAAAGATGAGGTGGGAGGGAGAGAGAAAGATGAGGAGGGAGGGAGGGTGTAAGAGGGGAGGAGCAAGAGAGGAGAGAGAGAGAGAAAAAAAAAAATAAAAATAAATAAATAAATAAAAAACAGAGAGAAAGAAAAGATAGAGATTAGTATTCTTGCAAAAAAAAATGTAGATAAATACTATAAAATTTCCAAATTGTAATTTACTGATTTTTTTTATCCTACCAAGGGTATGTTTATGTGTGGTTTACTATCTGGGTTAACCTTTTCAATTATGACCATTTAAACAGGAAGAAAATACTATAAACTCATATTTACCATCACAATCACGTAAACAAAGAAAAACAAACTTTTTTGTGTTGAGTCCCAGACAAATATCATTTCAGGTAATATTATTAATAATAAACCTACAAGCCTTCTCTATGAAACAAATCCTATAAGACTGATCTAAAAAGATTGCTGCTGATTGCACTTATCCAAAGCCTATTTATTTGAGTGCAGAAAGCCCAAATTTCTTTCATTATAAAGGTGACAAAATTTCATTCTCTAGTGGGAATGGGTATCTATACTGGACAACTGTAAGAATAAACATTTACAGTTTTCTCAATATATGACAGTTTCCCTCAAAAATCTGTTATATTAGACTGAAGTTTAATAAGTTTTTGTATACATTGATGAAAACTTGTAATAAGAGGGCACAAAAATAAGAGATTGAAATAGTGAACTTGAAATCAAAAGTCCAGTCTATATATAATAAATACTCTACATACTTATTGAAATCAAAAGTCCAGTCTATATGACATAACAAATATTCTACATACACCTACGTACTCTTTTAAGGATATAAAGTAAATAAAACCATATATTTACTAAAGAAAGCTATATTTAATAATGAAAAATTCATATAGAAATATATATAATACATCCATTGTTAAATAGAAAGAAAAGGGCATCTCATTTAACAGTATTATATATTTGCAGCACACTTTTTAAAGAGAAAAGGGTATCTCTTCTTGCTAATGGGATACAATAGTTTAAAAAATCTCTCTAACTTGCAAGTCGTGTTACACTGAGTAGTTAGGAACATTTTGTTTTCTTGGGTGTCAGATACCACTTTCTGAAATAACCGATCTGTGCTGTAGGCTTAAAAAATCAACCAGAGCAGCTTAAAACTACACAGGATAGTTGGACACAGAGACTCATGACTTCAGCATGAGCCACAAAAAATCTTTTACTCGATGATGCCTTAAAATAATAGAAAAGTAAGAATAAGTTGATAGTCAAGAGCAAATAATTTACCTAATTTCTGGCCATATACTTGGATAACTTTGCCATACGCTAATAAAGAAATTTTCACAAAGAAATGTAAAGTGTAATGGAAGAAGTACAAGACAATACTAATAATGAGGGAAAATGTAAAACCTTGTCACATCAATACATAAGTGTATACACTTGCATATACATATATAAAATAAAGTTGAGATCTAAAAAGACAAAAAATCTTATATTCCTAAACCTATATTATAGAATCAAATATTTTTTTTTGTTTTAACAAAATCAAATCAAATATACATTCTGACAGGAAATAGCTTTTACAATATCATTAATGTTTCTTCTGTGAAGAGGTCACAAAATGTGTTTTTACAAAAATTCATAAAATTCTTAATATTAATCTTGTACAGAAACTTGTATTCATCATGGTATCTGCAATAACTCGTGATACCAAAAGAGTGGACCAGGTACTTTTCGTTGGGAGAAACTTTGAACTAAAAACAAAGTTGATTCATTAAGTTTGCCTGTAAGAGATAGAGTTTTTGTTAATATATAAAGACTACTTATTATAAAATTCCTTATATTTTTTTCTTTAATGAATCATATACTGTTACAGATTATACTGAAAGTCCATATTTCACTTCTATATTTTACCATGCACAAAAAATGAGAGAATTATATACCATATGTAAGACACAGAATAGATCACAACTGAATTAGGTAACACAGTCTAAGAGGAACAGAAGTGTTTAAGAATTCAATGCAAGTAAATGGCATATTTTAAAGCATCCATCGCAAAGCTATGAGTCTATTAAATGTGTAGAAATAACAAAACTGATAAGCAGTCAAGATCATAATATATTTGTGGATACATTTTACACATACATCGTTATGAAATTAATCTAAACCTTGACTCTAAATTTGACTACTCTCTTGAAATAGAAGCATATTAAAATTTACCTTCGAATACATGTTTAACAAGGATGCTAATTTGCTACAAAATACAGCACAAATAAAGAACTCACCTTCATGAACCTTGTGTAGTAGGTCTTAGGCAGAGCAGGTACATCTTTCAGATCTTCAACAGATTTAAATTCTCCATACAATTGCCTTGGGGTGAAAAATAAGTTATTAAACATACTGTTAACATATGGTAGCATAAGAACATACTAGTCATACTACAAATGTATTATGAAAGTATATCATATTTATTACACACATACAAAGAAAGTAACAGAGCAGTTCTACTATGTACCACAAAACAGAACATCCTCATAAGATCAGGAACCAAATCATGCAATCACTGCCACTCCAAAAACTAACCTAAAGTTGTGTATAACCATGGCAGTCTTGGGCCCTACTGTGGGGAGCTGCTGGAGAGTCTTCAAAGAGCCATTATTTAAGATGTCAAGGATTTTGTCATTGTGCTGTTTCTGGAGGCGAGGGCTTACCACTAACTGCCACTTTCCATCTGTCTCATTCATGAAAGAGGTCTCTGTAGGTACTGCACAAACTGTGACATTTGCTGATGCCATTGCTGTAAGAAAAGTCAATAATGTTTTCATGTTTTTCCAAATTAAATCATTTTTATTTTACATGCATATAGACACTTTTCAGGTAAGACCAGGTATCTAGGGCTAAATTTACCATGAAATTATTTCAAAATACAAAATTTGTTTTACCTTTCTTTTTCCTAGTGGAAACAGAGGAACGCCTGCTCTTGCACAAATTACTAAGAGGACTCTGTCCCTTATAGATCTCAAAATTACGCTGAGTGGCCTTTATGGCAGCAAATCTCGAGGACCTCCGAACATCGTGATTTGTATTCCTCTTGAGAATTTTGTCAATTTGTAAGGGAGAAGAGAGAGTGATATTCATCCTGTCTCCATCACTTTTCAATTGAGACTCTTCCTTCAAGAAGGTTGGGGTCCCAGTACTTATTACGGTCACATTTTCTTTGCTATCTGCTTGGTCACTTAATTTAAGATCAACTTCACGTGACTTCAGGGTCGGATAGCTACCATCATTGAAAACAGCTGTGGTATCATGAGAGAGATCAAAGTCAGACCTGGTAGTGCTCCTGTCATTTAGCTTAAAGAAAGAAGATGAAGTATCCTGGTCTATCTTTGGGAACAGAGACTTGTGGATGCTCTGCCTTGTTGAGAGGCGAGTAGATCTCCTTACAGCTCGAGCATCAACAAAAGCTGTACTGGTTATCGGCAGCTTTTTCACAAGATCATAGTCAATATCCATGTCAGATGGATCTTGCTTTTGTGGAACAGGCTTTTGAGCCATAAATGACAAGTCGTCCTCTTTCTTCAAACACATAGTGTCACTTAACTGGTAAACATTAGTGACATCTCCCAGAGGTTTCCGAGGATCACTGGATGAAAGCACATTTTCTTTATAGCTTGTGGGTACAGTGCTAAACCTTTTACTTCTCTGGAAGATGGAGAGAAAATTATGTAAGCTAATATTCCACTTACAGCATTAATCATAACTCACATTTCCTGCCAACCTTTACCAACAGCAAATCTATTATATGCAATCTTAGCCTAATGATATTGACATACCCACTTTCAACATCTATAAAACAATTTGTGTTCAACCAAAGACCACATTATACAGCTATAAAAGATATTGCAGTGAATTAGTCTTGACTATATATATTTTTCTTTTTTACTAAATTCACAAGTCATACAGAGCTTCAAAATATGATTTTCAAAAGAAAAGTAAAGAGTAATAATATGCAACACTCAAGAAACTACAAACAAGTTGAATGCTGGTTGTGGCAGACAATAAGTGCAGTTGTGAGATTACACATATTACAAAATGCTAAACAAAACAAAAATACAAGAAAACTAACATTTGACACCTACAGTTTGCTTCCTATCTCTTTTTCATTTTAAATGTTTATATTTCATAGATTTATTTACCAATAAATTCCTAAAAAACAAATGGAAAATAAGTATACATCTTTGGAAAATAGAAATAAAAATTCTTTGGTTTGGTATGAGAGCACTGTAGGAGATCATGCTACCAACAAGAAGACAGCGAAGTTAAGTGAGAGCAACCCGTCTGTACTACACACATCCCTCAGCGACCTATCTTTGAGGTTACTTGTTGTTAAGAAATTGTGTATAGAGCAGAAAAGGAGAAGAAAAAGGACACAGATGAGAAGATATAGAAGGAATTAGGGAGAAAGAGAGAGTATGTTAGTGTGTGTATGTAAGGGGCAGAGAGGATGGAATGAAACAGTAAATATATCAACATTTGTAAATAGAAGTGTTGCTAAAATAAGCATATAAATGCACAAGTGAAAATCTGTATCTTTATGAATGACCTATCTACTTAGCATAAATCCCTTAGCAACCAACTAGCTGAGGTTACCAAAACCAGCTCATGCATGATTATGTGCTAATATTTATGCAAGTGTATGTATTTGTTATGCTGTACATGTAAGTGCTTGCCATACTGTAACACACAAAATTGCTAATACACATCAACTGTTCTGAAAATATTACTTCAGCATAAATAAAGAACTAGATAACCTCAACCTGTACCCTCCAAGTAATTTTGTCTATTTTCTGTTTTCAGTCCAAGGCATATATAACTACAAGCAGCTAAGCAACCAGAACGAACATGTAAATATGCATCAATGCATGTTCCTCAGCAACATATATCAGCCTTCCTCAATAGTATAATAGAACAAAAAGTACCTTTTTCAATGGTATGCACAAAAGGCTGAAATGTTATTGTGTAGTAGTAGTAGTAATATGAAGTTTCTACCTGTATTCCTTGCATTAGATACAGGCACTCAGCATGACAGCAATTCAAGTCACCCAGGTGAATAATAGCTAATTTATATATGACATGGATCTCATTAAACCTAGAGACAAGGAGTTAATTGCCTATTCATCCTTATAAAACTAAAGCTTCCTTGGTAATATTAACAGTTCAACAACATCAAACAAACAATTACAAATTCTATTCCTAAAAAAAATATATAAGAAGAAAAAGAAGAAGACAATTTATAAAAGACAAAGTAACATAAACAAAAACTTCCCTACCCTTGGCATCTTGTCCTTCTGTGTGCTCTGTAAAGCATCCGTGACTATTCCTTGCAGCATTGATTTCATGTCATGTTTGTTAAAAATGGCACCAATGATGGATGCACCAAGGTTATTGCTGTCTGAAGAATCGCTTTCACTTAACGATTTCTCATTTTCAGTGCCTGTGGGTGTGGAACTCTGGTGTTTCTTTGTCCTTGTTCTTGCTCTAAAAGTAGAAAAAGAGTAAATATTTTTTTTACAAATAATTCCGCAATACATGTAAACACAACCATATTCTCTTGGTTTGGGCAAGATATCACAATCTTCAAAGGAAAAGGGAAAATGTCAACAGGGGAAAAAAATTTGCTGGTCACACCAAATGTTTAGACATGCTCTATCAAATTGACCAATATTTTATTAGTAACTATAACTTTGAAAAACCCTCACATACATTAACTTACTGAATGTCATTTAATATTTGTCATAGTTTACAATATGTTTGCAATACATTAAAATCAAACATAACTACACTCACATGCATACAAACACACAAACACTTTCATAAACCCCCAACCCAAATTTATCATGAACATCATCATCATTACAAACATGTTCTCCCCCAAAACCAAATATTAAAAAGTCACCTTGATTTTCGTTTCCTCCTACTCTTCTTGGTAAGCCGCTCAATAATTCTGTCAGCCACACGATCCTCAATACTCTCTAGCTGGGTCATTACAGACTGCTCTAATCGGTTGGTCACTCGCTCAAGCATTGGACTGTGGAGAGATTGGGGGAAGTGTGACAACAACAGTAATGATAAGAATAAATACAAGAAATGAATTCATGAATGATTACAATGATGGGTGAATAATGAAAAATCATCAGACTATTAGATATACACATGTAACTTCAGGAGATCATGCACTCAAACAATAAAAGCCAATAACACATAAATAAACAGAAAACATACATATAAACCTCACCTGAACGAAGGGGCAGAGGTTCTCTTGACCTCATCTGATGTCCTAATACGATGTATGACACTAACACCTGAGGGTGAGACATCCTCAAAGATTGGCTGTTTAATGGTAGGGAACCCTGAAGGTGGTGGAGGCATGCTAGGTTCCAGAAGAGAGCTGCTGAAGATATTCCTCGTGCTGTAGATAGACATTTTATTTAGATTTTGAAGACACTGGATATCATAGAGAGTTGCTGTTTTTTCTGTGGCATAAACACCAATAATGATGTATGAAATAGATACCCTTGTACTACATAAATAAATGTGGATGACAAAAAAGGTCTATGCAATCACCCCATCCTACTTTGTTCACCAAATAGCTCTGAGCCAAGAAGTTTTGTCCATAATATGATAATAGATAAAAATGTTTCTATCTGATTCTTGCTAATGTGGACAATATTATATACTCTAAATCAATTATACCAGTTTTTGATAGTTATCTGACAGCATGACTACTTGGATGACAAGCATGGCATTGCAAGAAAACTATCACATCATTTTTAGAACATCCTGCAGTATTGCTCCTCTATCCAATACATGAAGATATATGGTATTAAAAAAAGATAGAAATTAGTAATTACATACTAATAATCATGATTTCTGTAAAGGGTAACTGAGTATACATAATCTTCTGAGATATATGTTTAAATGTCCTTTTTTTCTTTAGCATAGTACAGTATAGAAGAGTGTATACTGACATGTTGCTAGGTGTGGCAAATGAATTGTTTAGGGAAGTCACAACTTTTCTTTTTGGGACTTTGTGGCCTGGAGTTGAGACTGTAGTATTGTGATCTTGCTTCTTCCCTGAGGCAAGGACTCGTCTCTTCCAGGCTCCTGGTGTGGCAGTTACATCCTCACAACGACGCTTTATACCATATCGCTGGGGGGAGACCAAAAAATAATAATAATAAATAAATAAATAAATAAATAAATAAATGAATAAATGATGGTGATGCCAATAATAATAAGAATAAAATAATAATAATTTAAAAAATGCAAGCTATTGATAAAATGAAAGTATATGTTCTCAGGATTTCTGCTGTGGCACAAGGAATTATACTCCTTTATATCATTATTAGCACAATATTCAAATAACATACTTGGCTATAATGGAAAATTTTGGCTTTAATAATTTCTTCCTACTTTTATTCAGACTCTTAATATTGGTGTGTACTCAAACTTCATACTACAGATAGTTTTGTAGAATTAGACTTTATGTAGAATATAAAAAAAAACTAATTAGCAAAACAACTATGATCACACATGCCCCAAAAATTCTACAAACTATCTAATAAAAAAAGGTTACCTTTACAGTGGAGAGCACCTGAGGCCTGGTACGTATGTTTCTTGCTTGTTCAGCATATGTGAGTGTGTTGATCGTCTCATACATGTTGATGCTTGCTGGATTAACACAGGCAATCATGGTAGTGTGACTGGTACCTCCCAAAGAGTCTTTGAGGAGCCTCGTCAGAATAGATTCTCTGGGAAAGAAAGTAAAACATAATATGAATATGATTTTTTTTTTTTTTATGTACCCACAAATAAAATACTTTTCAATATTTAGTGCAAAATGTATTATTCCTTCCCTAAACTAAGATCACATTAAAGAGTCATTACACACCTGTATGGTACGTATCCAGTTGTGGAGTTGCTTAGTGCTGCAAGGACTTTACCCAGTGTCAGAAGCCCCTTGTTGATGGCCACACCCTCCATAAATGATTGACCAGAAGTTTGAGCTCGGCCAACCCCTTCAGCTCCTGCTAAGTCAACAAGCTTCAAGCAGCCTTGACGACTTCCAATCTGTAAATCATAAATAGTTATATACATTAACAAAGTCTTTGCATAGATCTATTATCTCAATGATACCAACATTCAGAATATATATCAGTTAATAATCTGACAAATTTTGCAATATTTCATAAATTTCCAAAACAGACACAAAACCATACTTTGACATTTAAATAAATGAGGGCATGGGAACGAGATGAGTGCTGATTCATTGCTGTTGACCCAACACTGCGCAGACTATTTCCTTTTTCTAGGAGCAACAACCCCTCTTCCACACTGTGCACCTGTTTCTCTACCATTCCTATAGCTGATACACCTGGAAGAAAAAAATAAATAAAAATACATTTCCTATATACCTTTAGCAACTGATGGCATCGCATTTCTTTCCTGTATTACAATATCACTTTCCAAAGTTATTCAGAAACCACACATGACATAACAAGGAACATTCAACTTTACCTCCACCCTTCCCAGCTTTGACTTCCAATGATACCCTACTAGGAGCTAAGA